AAACCAGCAAAACTTTCGCTAAATGGAATAGTTTTAGTTAAGTTAAAAACTGTTAAATGAGATGATTTGTGTAAAAGATGTTAAAGGAAGGGAAATTAAACGTCAAGCAGCTACATGTAAACGTTGAGAAATTAAACACGACCCTCCCTAGTTGCACCGAGTGGATGGCGACTTCCAATTGCCATGGTCGGCAACTTGCTATTAATTTTCCCCGTTTCCAAAAGCTACCTTTGCTCGTCCACCGTGCTGCTCTGCTCAATGGCGGCCCACCATGTCGCCTTGTCTGTTCTCATCCTTGCCGTCCCCCTGCTCGCGCCCAGCGGCCTCGTCGCAACAGAGCCGTGGCCACTGTGCGGCCACAGCCGCGAATACAACGACAAGAGCCAGTACCAGGCCAACCTCAACCTCGTCGCCGCCGCGCTCCCCAAGAACGCCTCGGCGTCGCCCAACCTCTTCGCCACCGCCGAGGCCGGGGCCGTCCCGGAGAAGGTCACGGCTCTCGCGCTCTGCCGCGGCGACGCCAGCTCCAGGGCCTGCTCCAGCTGCCTCGTCAACGCCTTCGCCAACCTCCCGAACGTGTGCCCCGGCTCCAAGGAAGCTGTCATCTACTACGACGCCTGCATGCTCCGCTACTCCGACGTGCAGTTCCTCTCCGCCGACGACTCTGAGCCCCTGGGCGTGGAGCTCACCTACACGGTCCGCAACGACGCCAACGCCACGTCGGAGCCGGGCCGGTACCAGCGCGCCGTGGCCACGCTCATGAACGCCACCGCGGACTACGCCGCGTACAACTCCACGCGCCGGTACGCCACCGGCCAAGCCGACCTCGACCGGGAGTTCCCCAAGGTGTACAGCTGGGCGCAGTGCACCCCCGACCTGACGCCCGGCCGGTGCCGGGACTGCCTCGCTCAGTTGATCGCGCAGTTGCCGGTGCAGTTCACGGATAGTATCGGGGGCAGGCTTCTTGGTCCCCGATGCAGCTTCGAGTACGAGACCAAGCCCTTCATCAATGGCCCGGTGATGGTGCAGCTGCCAGCAACGTCCGCGAGCTCTGGAGCGCCGGGGCCGGCCGTGGCTCCTACATCGGCGACAGCAGAGGGTGAGCTCTTAACTTTCAGTAAAGTATATGGACATTTCCTCTGCTCATTGCTCTGCTTCCCTCTATATATATTTAGGCGTACAAAAATTCCTGAAAATTGTTATATTCAAACTCTAAAGAATCAACCAATGTCCATTTCCCTCCAACCATTTCAAATCGTGCAGGGTGTAATCTTGTGATATTTCAGTTCATGTCTGCTACACTCGTCTGACATAACACGAGTCATCTCAAATTGTACAGGGAGAAAGTACAGTGTTCCTGGCATGGTTCTTATCATTCTCTTGCCTACAATAGCAGCCATAAACCTCATTGTTTGGCTCTTTTCATGGAGGAGGAGGAGGCAGGCACTTGCAAAGGCAAAGCAACCAGGTATGTATGTCATTTTGTCACTCAAAATTCCCCAGCTACAGTGTCAGTGCCTAAAATGAAACAATTTATGCACTTGTGTCATGTATTCACGATGGCGTCTCTATTCAAACAGATCCAAATTATTCCACTGATGAAGCAGAGGACATGGAAAGTGTGGAGTCAATGTTAATTGACATTTCAACTTTGCGGGCTGCAACCGAGGATTTTGCAGAAAGCAACAAACTCGGCAAGGGTGGATTTGGCCCGGTGTACAAGGTAATGAGCTAACCTGTCTTGAAGCAAGTAGGCACAACACTGGAAAACTGGTGGTTGAGCAAAACTTTCATACAATTTTCAGGGTACTCTCCTAAACGGCGATGAGATCGCAGTCAAGAGAATGTCCAAGAGCTCAACACAAGGAGTGGAGGAGCTCAAGAATGAGCTCGCCTTAGTTGCAAAGCTGAAGCACAAGAATCTTGTTAGACTTGTCGGTGTCTGCTTGGAGCAACAAGAGAGGCTACTCATCTATGAGTTTGTTCCTAACCGAAGCCTCGACCTGATCCTTTTCGGTAACTAGTTGAGCGATGATTCCATTGTCTGTTTTCTCCGCGCATTGAAATAATAGTGTAACATCGCATAGATCTTATACCATTTTCTAATTCTTCTGATGGAAAAGCAGACGAAGCGAATCGTCAAAAACTAGATTGGGAAACGAGGTTCAAGATCATAAATGGAGTGGCTCGAGGCCTGCAATACCTCCATGAAGACTCTCAGCTCAAAGTAATCCATCGTGACCTCAAAGCGAGCAACGTCTTGCTGGACATGAACATGAACCCGAAAATCTCGGATTTTGGCCTTGCCAAGATTTTCGGGAGAGACCAGACCCAGGGTGTGACGAACCGCGTCATCGGCACATAGTAAGTAGTAGCATGATAGACCGTAAGTTTCCAGCAGGAGGTAACTAACTAACTATGAACTCTTGTTGTTAATTCAGTGGATACATGGCGCCAGAGTACGTGATGCGTGGGAACTACTCGGTGAAATCAGACGCTTTCAGCTTTGGCGTTTTGGTCCTGGAGATCATGACAGGAAAGAAGAACAGTGACTGCTACAACTCCCAGCAATCTCAGGATCTCTTGACCACAGTATGAGCTTGTTATTTGAACATCTGGCTAACATGCAGCGCATCTTGGCTCATCGATGTTACACAATTGTGCAGGTATGGGAGCATTGGGTGGCCGAAACAGTGTTGGAAGTGGTAGACCCATGCATGAACAAGAGCTTCTCGGAGAGTGATGCGCTGAGGTGCATCCATGTCGGGCTTTTGTGCATCCAGGGCAACCCGGCAGACCGGCCGATGATGTCGACGGTGGCCATGATGCTTGGCAGCAACACATTCTCTCTCCCTACTCCGTCGAAGCCGGCATTCTACACTACAAACGATGGTGCCAATTCGAGCACCGGGTCAAGCGTGTCGATCCCATCAGTGCAAGCCCGGTCATAGAGTTTACTTCATAGCAACAATTTGAGCGTAAATAGCCAATGTATCTATGGTCCTATTGCACCCGAATTGGAAAAATAATTTAGACATTACAAAAGGAGTAAAAAAATCCTGAATTTGTTTGGATTCGAACTCGTGCGAAAAGTTTCGCGAAAGAATAGCTTCGAACGACTCCAGAGCCAAGAAAACAATTTTGAGATTACAAAAAGCATGAATAGTAAGTTTTATAAAGTGTCAAGTCTTTTTCCGCCTATAATATAACGAGTCATTCCTCTGTGAAACTTTTCACACAAGTATTACAAAAAGCCAAAGTCAGTATGGGTACTATTACAAAAAATTCGGACCTCATGCTCGAGGACGTAAATTCGACCATTTTTAAATTTTTGCGAGAAACTGGTAGATAGTTGCATGTAGCTAGTTGTAGTCGGTGCTGGCAAGCTGTAGTGTGATATACGTATGAAAATGGCGAGTCATTTGGCCGGAGAGGGTGCGCCGTGAGATGCTAATGCCGTGAGTGGTGACGTACATGAATCAAGTTGTACTATACCTGGTTGTTAGCATTAATCTTGATTCATGTATCAGCATGCTTAGTTTAGTTTTGCATGTAGCTAGTTGTAGTCGGTGCTGGCAAGCTGTAGGGGTGTGATACGTATGAAAATGGCGAGTCATTTGGCCGGAGAGGTTGCGCGGTGAGATGCTAATGCCGTGAGTGGTGGCGTACATGCGAGATGCCGGAGGGCCTTGTTTTTTTTTGAGAATGACGGGGGGCATTGTGCCCCACCGGTTGTTATATTACTCGAAGGACCTGGCAGTCATACAATGTTTTTCATCGAAAAGATAAAAAACAACATGATAAGAAGCGAAAAAAAAAGAGGAACCCGCCATGAGGCAGTCTAGAGGACTGAGAGAAAGAAAAGTCGGATGGCCAGAAGTCGATCCCGAGACGGAGCGTCATAGCGCCTGCTCCAAATCAGGAGGTCGTCGGCCGTCCTCGCGAGGATATCACAGGCGGTGCAGCGTATGTTGTTGAAGGTGGCGTTGTTCCTGGCCTTCCAGATCTGCCAGAGAAGCACGTAGAGCCCATCTTTCCACAACGCAGCCACGTCGGCGGACGGCGAGGGAGAGGCGAGGATCGCATCCACCGAGGGGAAAGGGCCCAGACCGAGGCGAGTCCAGGTCGAAACCGCACGACCGCAGGCGGCGAAGATGTGAGAAGTGGACTCCTCGTTGGGGCAGGAGGCGCACGTGCTGGAGGGGGTGCAACTCTTCGCATGCAGGTTCTTCCGGGTACTAAGGCGGTCCCGGACCAGAAGGCACGCGAAGATCTTGATCTTCCGCGGGAGACGCGAACTCCAGATGTCGATGGAAGACTGGCAGAGCACCCCGTGGGGGGACATGACCCTGAACGCGGCGCGCGAGCTGAACTCCACGTCCTCCCCCCAGGCCATGAGTCGACGATCCGGAGCGTCCACAAGCCCAAGGTCACTGATGATCGCCTGCACAGCCGCAAGCTGGGAAGCGGCAACGGAGGAGAGGCGCCTCTGGAGGTGCAGACCGTCGGCGGACACTGCTGCCACCGAAGCGTTCGGGCGCGTCGAGTGAGAGTACAATGCCGCGTACTCAAAGCAGAGGGCGCGGCCGGGCCCCAACGGTCGTGCCAGAACGAGGTGGCGCGCCCGTCGCGGAGATCCACGCGGGTGATAGACCTGTACGTCGGGAGGCCGCTGAGAATGATGGCCCCAAGGAAAGAAGGAGCCGAGCAGGGGTCGCCAACATCTCTCCTGGTGGTGCTGAGAAACCACCGTTTCCACGGCGGACAGTCGGGTTGATGAAGCTTGTGGACGAAGTTGAGGAGCAGACACATGTTCTGCCGACGGAGATCCCGGATCCCGAAGCCGCCTTCCTGCACATCTGCACACACTTTATCCCAAGCAATTAGACAACGCGCACCGGAGCAAGTATCCTTGCCGGTCCAAAAAAAGGCACGACGCCTACGATCAATCAACTCAAACACACCAGAGGGAAGCAAGTACGAGCACATGAAGTAGGTGGGGAGGTTGTTGAGAACGGCATTACAAAGGACCATCCTACCCCCTGACGACAGGAGGAGGGCACGCCAACCAGAGAGGTAACGGTCAAAGGAGCGGATAAGAGGGTCGTAAGCGGAGATGGGAAGTTTCCAGGGGGAGAGGGGGAGACCCAGGTAGGGTTGAGGGAAGGAGGAGATGGGACAGCCGAGGGTAGTAGCCATGGCGGCTGACAGATCGTCGGGGCAGTGCATGGGAATAAACCCAGACTTGTGGAAGTTGATGGCCAGGCCGGTAGCAAGGGCGAAAGAGTCAAGGAGGGTTTTGAGAGTCGCCGCCGACTGGGGGTCCGCACGGCAGAGGATAAGGGTGTCGTCGGCGTATTGGAGCACAGGGCAGGGGACCGAGGGGTCAATCGGGTGAGCAAGCCTCCCATCCGAGGAAGCCGAGCGAATAAGACGCTGGAGGACATCGGCGACAAGAATAAAAAGGTACGGCGAAAGCGCGTCCCCTTGACGGAGGCCATTGCGGCAAGGATCCAGTCCCCAGGGATACTGTTGAGAAGGACGGCGGTGTGTCCTGTAGAAAGAATGTCTCGGATCCAACCGCACCACCGGGAGTTGAATCCACGGGCTGAGAGAACGGAAAGGAGGCTGGACCAGTTAACCGAGTCGAAAGCCTTCCGAAAGTCGATTTTGAACACAATCGTGGGGGCTTTCCGGACGTGGCAGGCACGAAGGAGGTCGGCCGCGTAAACAATGTTTTCTGAAATACGCCGACCCGGAAGAAAGCCGGTTTGGTCAGGATCGACGAGAGAGTGAATGTAACGCTGCAGCCGAGTGCACAAGGCCTTGTGAAGCCGAGTGCACAAGGCCTTGTGAAGCGGCTGCATCACTCATAGGCTAGAGTACGAGAGTTTGTTAGCTGCATGGGTTAGTTAGCAATAATCCTACACACACGGACCTATTACGGGCTTTTACTTAATTTTCTTCTAACAAATCTCTCAGCCCCCCTGATTTTTAGTAGGGGTGGGGTCCAACCTCCCCTCGTATCCAATCCCAATTGCCCACGCCAGCTAGCCCGTGAACCCCGTAATAGATTTTTCCGTGAGTGTAGCATTGCTCGTTAGTTAGTGGCCTATAGAAAAGGTCTTAGTTGTAGTTAAGTCGTGAGTGCATGGCGTGATAGGATAAGTGTACTGGCCGGTCACATGTGTCCTAGTCTTGTGGATCTAGAGTGATTCTAGGAGAAGGGTATGACTATGCGTTGCCCTGGTTGGTTAGGGCATGTACAAAGGTGTTATCTTGAGAGTGCCACGTAGAATAAACGATGAGGTAAAGGACAGAAGAATTCGTAAGAACATGCTTGTCTTCTCTTATTTAAAAGAAGACAAGAGATGCTCTCTTAGGGCATGTACAATGGTGCTATCTTAAAAATGTCACGTAGAATAAAAGATGAAGTGGAGGAGAGAGAACTCATAAGAAAATGTTTGTCTTCTTTTATTTAAGAGAAGACAAGAGATGATCTCTTAGCATAATATGTCTCACCATATTTTTAGTAATGACTAGTTATTGAAGATAAGGCTAAGAGATGACCCGTTGTAGACATTATATTTGTCATCTCTATATTACATGCAAGACTTAAGATAAGACTATCTTATCAACCATTGTATATGCCCTTAGCACAGTATGTCTCATCATATATTTAGGAATATTGTAGACGCTAAATTACATGCAAGACTTAAGGTAAGATTATCTGATCATCCATTGTAGAAAGAGAAAAAATATAGTACATGTGTTCTCACCGGCAGCAAGAGGCAGAGTTAGTTTTTTCCTTGGTGAAGTTTGTGTACGTGTGAGCTTCTCCATGGTGTTTATCCTGGAGATACCAGGAGAGTCACGAGGTGGAAGAAGAGGGGCTGCGAGGATGCAGTACCAACACTGGTATTATAGCAAACTATCACTGGGAAATTTAACTTGGCTCCCAGGAGCACATGCTCCGGGGTGATTTATGTAAAAAAACTAGATCATAAAAGTGCGCGTTGCCGCGCCCATACATCTTAATAAAACATATTTTAGAAGATCTGGTCATTGCAAATACTTGAGAAAATATATACATTATATCTATGCTGTGTAAATCTAGTGAGAAAATTCTACATTTTGATGCAAGGGATAAATAACACCGGTGGTATAGATACAGCTTCTCGTCTTATTTACAACTGATGTTCAAAGTCAAGGATACCATGATATCTCACAAAATCAGCATATGACTATCTCAATGTCATACATGCCCACACACGACTTCTGGTCGCCTCAATAAAAAAACATGAACATGTTGTTCAGTCAAAGAGAAGTACCTCCTCGAATGCCCTGAGTGCTGATTGGATGTCCATTAGCTGCTCCACGTTTTGTTGTATTGCCTTGTTAAATTTGTTCTTGCTCCGAGGGAATTGTATGACCAACACAGTTAAATTGATTCAAAAAAGAAGAGAGTTAAATCAGGAGAGGATTTCCAAGAAAATGGCTCTATTATTCAAGAGCATAAGCACAGTCAAAAAGATATACATGGATATTGGATACCTTCCACAAAAAATCTCAAGTACAAAAAAATACAGTATAAAAGTACATACGGAAGTTGTGGTTATAGTTCCTAAAACCGCAAGGATGACTGAAATCCTTGAAATGATTGATTTTCTTATTTGCCCAAGGAATACTAATTCATATGGAGTTTTTTTTTTGCCGGGAAATCTTTGTGGTTCATTGGTGAAAGTGGACAGAACAACTTATGTTTTTATAGGCTAACACTATATACAATTTCATCGCAGCAGCGGCTAAACTTGACTAAATATAAATCATAGGAGAAGATAAAAACATACTGAAATAAGTTGTTTCATGGAAGGTTTCCCTTAAAAAAACATGAGGTAAACACACATGTCACTTCCTCGGCCGTTGTCACATCAACAAGCTAAAAAAGGCTCAAAATTACACATAGAGATGTACGTGTGCAGCCTGCTAACTTCAAAAAACAAAAACAAATGGAGGTTGCCATACCTTTGTCTACACCGTGTGCAGCCTGCTAGAGCCTCACTCTGAACAATTTTTGGATATACTCTCACTCTGAACAATAAATCACTGCTGCAGAGAGAGGAGAAGTTTCCGACGATATCAAGATGCATCAGCTACAACATCTGTAGTTATTTTAACTGACATGGTGATACTGGGAACTGACGAAAAAGGTAAGCCATGTGTGACCTGGAATCCAACTTGACATGTATTGTTCATACCTGAATCATCATTACCAGTGGGAGGCACTTCGGCTCTCAGCTTTGCTGATGTAATACGTAACAAGAAGCACACTTCAGAGAAGAAAACCCCTCTTTTCAGTTTAATAGGGGATTGATGAAGATATGGTCAACCAAGGACTGTTTGGGCACCAAGGTAAGCACTCTAATTTCCTTCATCGCCCCTTTCTTCCACAGCAGCAAGTACCCTAAAGCGACTGCCAAACCATGAACCTACTATTGCGAGCCGCTAGGAGTGTCGCCGTTGTGCGGACGAGGGTGGAGGATGAGATGAGACCGTGGTCGGTTCTAGCCTCTAGGGCTTAGGGAGGCCGCTGCTGTGCTTGTAGGAGGAGGTGATCCGATCAACCACGAGACGCAGGCTCGCCTCTTTCGCTACCCTACCACGTGGATCGTAACAGTAGGCTGCATCAGTAAAGGAGAGGGCTCCCAGATCGATCCTCGGAGCAGCAGCCCACTAACGCGTTTGGGCCGGCGGGGACGCTCGAGGTGGGAGGCGTAAAGACCGTGGGGACACGGCGGGACGACTTGAGGATCCAGACCATTGAGTGAACTAATCGGACGATGCAGAGTGTCAAATTGTTGTGGAGGCTCCTAGGTAGCCCCGTTATACTGTTTCTCAATACTAAGACAATTTTTTTGTGATCTTTGTCACATAGAAATGCTACTTGTAAATTTTGAGACAAAAAGGTTAAGTATGTTGCCATGGCATATATAGTCACCACTTATAGTCACTCATACAATAAGGTTAGCTGTGTTAGAGTTGTATCGAATATTATTGTACAAGATAGGTTACAATTGAATTTGGTTTTGGACTGTGTGTAGACAGGGTAGGAGTTATGTCCTAACACTATTAGGAAAGTAGTTTTTAACGAGGGTATATGTGGTCGTTGAAAGTCGGATTGTGGTTGTTAAAGGCCATTAACGACCACAATATGTTGGTCATGATAGGCTCCATCGTTAAAAGTATACCGACCACATATTGTGGTCGTTATTTTGTAACGACAACATATTGTGGTCGTTATTTTGTAACGACGGGATGATCTGTCGTCGTCGATGCCGATGCAATAACAACTACAATTGTAGTATTAACGACCACTTTTGTCATCGCTAGTAATGTTCTTATGGTGATTTAAGTATGATTGGCGACAACTTTTGAAGATTATTGGCCACACTCATCAAGCAACAAAAAAATTTGGACAGTCAAAGTATATAACCTATTTTCATTAATCCAAATCATACATATTGAAGACGATCCTCACATACAGTGGAGAATATAAACCAAAAACACCTTGTAGACAACTATTTTAGTCCATATCTAACCAGAAATACATCACCTAGAAGAGTGATTTATTTTTCATAATCTTCAGTCATGGGACACCATCATAAATCCTTGTGTTTCACTGCATATCATTCTTCACCAATGACTACAATGTCTTGTGATGCTCCTATTATTGTGAACCATCCGTTCTGCAAAAACAGAAATGATTTATTAGTAGTACATATAAATGAATTTGCTCAAAAAGATAGTAGCACATATGAAAAAAATAGCATGTGAATCATTTTAGACTAAATAACATTGTATACTATTTCCTGTAGCTTAGACATGTTTTAATCCAAATTCTTGCACAGTCCTTATGCAACAAAGAAGAAATTGTTTTTGCGAACAATTAATTAGTCTGTTTCTTATCTAGTTCTAGCAAGAGTTGAGTTATTCTATATATGGGCAAAATGTTTGAGCTTTTTTGGTTGATTTTGCAGAGAAGTGCCAGCGAAAGTAGTACATTAGTAGATGAGGAAACTAAATGATGCTTGGTTTTGGGTACTGCGTGAAATAATTAGCAAGCATCTAGCAGGAATTGAGCAGGGGAGGGGACGGGAAGAAGATTAGATCTGGCTGCAGGTGGGAGGGGGGCTCACGAGGAGGCGGGTGGTGACGGTGAAGTGGCAGAGGAGGCGGCTGGGCCAGACGCGTGGACGCGGATGTAGCGGAGCACGAAGGCGTCGTGGAACCCGGAGGGCAGCACGCCCACCTTCTGTACCAGTAGCGCATCGGCCTCTGCCTCCTCCGGCATCCGGCAACCCTTCTCGAAAGCCGCCGTCGACGCCATTGGCGGGCCGATCTGAATCGAGGCAAGCGTCCTGTTTCGGTCAAAGGGGCCACCTTAGTTATTAGGTTAAGATAAGAAACCTAGACTCAATACGTTGATATTTATCCTTTTCACCGATTAATATTAAATAAATTGTTAACTACTCAAAAAAGATAAGATAAGGAGATTGCAATGACGACCACCAGCTAATACTATGGGTTCTCGCGTGCGCAAGTTGGACATGTGTTGGCCCGCCCTAACAGTAACGACCAAGTATTGTTCGTAGCTCATCGTTAATGACCTAATTTCCAGTAGTGTAATAAGACACTTGTATCCTAGACCTCTCATATATAGCGGGCCGGGTAGACACACGATGTAATCTATGCCAACATAATAGCACCGGAACGCAGGGAAAGCCGACGGCATGTGCTGGTGTCCAGGGCGACCGGGTGCAGTATTGTAGCGGTGTCATGAGGAGGAGCGTCCATAGTCAGATGTAGCCATATCGATGAACCTCGTTAACAAATCTCGGTGTCGTGCTCGTATGATTGCTTGATTCTCGAATGATCGACAGAGTGCCTCGGGTTTATTCTAACAAGCTATAAGAGTAGTATTTTTTTTCACCTTCTCTGTATCTCTTTCTTTATATTTATTGCAATTGCCTAGGAGTAAAGCATATAGCTAGGCTTTGTACGAGAGTCCTCTCTCACTATTTTTCCACATCACTCTCTTTCACATAGGCAAAAGTGTAATGTAACCGTGCTATAAGCCCATTATTGTACTTACTCTAAGCACCTGATGAAAACCATGGATTTATTTATCTAGTTTTACATTTGAAAACTAGACTTTGCCGGCCGCAGACGGTAATCTGTCGGGATTATTGCTTAATCTCGTGGTAGTAAAGCTTCGCTTTGGCTACAGTTTCTTCAGTTCAGGCCCTTGACGGCAGCACGCAGTTGCCTATCTCTGTAAAGAGTGGAACGAAATCACCATTCACAAACAGACACATACATTTTGTTTCGTGAAACTAGAACGAGCAATTCAAAGCAGAGAACTTACTTGGTGCCTGCCGGACAATGGTAGCGGCACCGGCGAAGGCGCACGTTCCGGCGCCCCGGCCATGGCGCTGGTAATAGTCATTGAACGCGAAAGACGCATGCGCGACCTTGGTGTCGGGATCGAAGCACCGTGCTCCGGGTTGGATGTCCGTGCAGTCCGCGCCGTGGCCGCAGGCGTAGTCCAGTGCATTCTGCAGCCGCGCGGCGCCCACCGCCGCGTTCGCCACACACCAGCTCGGGCTCGGGTCGCACCGGCCTACGCAAGCAATGGAATCGTCATGGCTGGCCGCCAGTGTAGAGTGTAGAGTGGATGGTCGTGGTATTCAAGCACTCACCTGATGGTGCCTGGTTGACAATGGTGGCAGCACCACTGAAGTCGCACGCGCTGCTGGCCTGGCCGTTCTTCTGGTAGTAGTCGTTGAAGGCGTAGGACGCGTGCGCGAGCTTGGTGTTGGGCTCGTAGCAGGGCTTGCCTGGCTGGATGGCGCTGCAGTCCGCCCCGTGGCCGCACGCGTAGTCCAGCGCAGCCTGCAAGGCCGCGTCCCCGGCCGTGGCCTTCGCGGCACAGTAGCTCGGTTGCACGGGGCCGGCACCATGGACAAAGTCGACTTGATACACGGGCTGCTGGTTCGGGTAGAACAACCCAAAGTCCTGCTCGTCTTCGGGCTTGTTGTCCTCGTTGAAGAGTTCGAAGATGTACACGTCAAGATCGGCGTTGGGACGGTGCGGGGTGCCGACAGCACTGGTGGCGAGCCGGTTATATCTGTTTGAGGTGGTGCCGGAGTTACCGCCACGCACTTTGCTCATGAGACCATCGGTGAATGCTTGGGCGTTGGCTGTTGTTCCCACGCCATGGTGGCCTCTGGTTGGGTGGTGACTCTCACCAAGCTTCACCTCCAGTATTCCGCCCCCTGCTGTGAGCTTCCTCATCCCTCCAGCACGCAGGCTGGAGGACGGCAGCTTCTCCATCGCATAGTACACAGCGTCAAGCTGCGCGTCGAGGAGGCTGAAGTACGTTTGCTTGCTATTCTTGTCAAGAATGCCAGCGTTGGGGCGGAACAAGAGATAGTCGATGGACATGCCGGGAGTGCTCAGGTACGCAAGGTACGGGTAGATATTCATCATGAGGTACGACCCGGTTTCCTGCAAGAAGTCGACCATGGGGCTCATCACCGACAAGGCGATGTCGTCACGGAACGCGCCCTCGGACGGCGGGAACGACATCTTGAGAGCGTCGAACGCGATGGGCGTGGTCACCTTCACGGCGTCCGCCAGGCCCAGGCGAGCCAGCGCCGCTTGCACCTTCTTCATGGCCGGGACGAGCTGAGAGTTGAGCTGACTAGCCTCTTTGAAGACCTCGTTCCCGATCGTCACGCCGTTGATCTGCGTGGCCGGGTAGTAGGCCTTCACATTGTTCTGCACCCATTGATCAGCGAAATTTTGGTCCGCGGCAGCGGAGGGCAGCTCCTCGTTGGTTAGCTCCACCGTGACATTGATGCCGGTGCTGGCCAGCGAGCGCAGCACCGTCGGGTCAGTGTCGTAGATCCTCACCATGGTGATGCTGTTCTTCTTGAGCAGTTTCACCACGGACGTCGGGTCAGGCAGGTTAGTCGCCATCCTCCCATAGCACACGCCTACCTGGCCCCCCTCTGCAGTAGGTGCGTGTACAATAGTAAGAAACATCACAATTAAGTCGTACACTTCGATGCAGAGGCAAGGGTTTATCGTTCTTTCTCAAAATAAAAGCACCTACAGCATATATATGTTTCCAGAAAAACATGCGATAATCAGGATAACGTCTCCATGGCGATTACCTGCACGGGAGAAGAAGAGCAGCGGCACTGCGATGCCGAGGAGGACGACCAGGAGGTGACTCGTCAGCGCCATGCGCCCTCGGTGGTATGTATAGCGGAGCTAGCTAGCTAGGGCCTTGAGGAGACGATGATGATCGAGCTGATGAGTTGGGAATGATCACAGGCGGGCTGGAATTTATAGCCGGCACCAACGGTAAGATGGAGCCATGGAGGTGCTACAATTTTTTTTTCTTTGTGCAAGTGACGGCGGCAGCCACAACAAGACGTACGATAGTGCAACCAAAATTGGGGTATATGCAATGCCAATTGCAGCATGCATATACGCCTAACTTGGACTTGGACTGGTCGAGTTGATGAGCTACAACTTGTACCAGAAGACCCATGCTTGGGTACACCTCCCTTGCCCCTAAATCTAAGAGACAGTCGGATAAATGCTCACTAGTGGCAGCATCCCCGGACCCCGCCCACAGCAACGCCCGCCATTTCTCTTATCTTATACGGAAGAATTACATCGCTCACGGGCACAAAACCGACGGCAACCTGCCGGTAGATGACTGTCACTGGAAAAAGCACAGAGAACTCCATGCATTTGTCAACACGTGTGGAAAAGACCAGACGCGGGTCAATGCAATAGCTATCGCTACCTGTGGGCTGTGGGTGCTTGCACCAATAGCTCATTCTTGTCTTGTATAGAAAACGTCGCTTGCAGTAGTATGTTCCGTGCGCCTAGTTGCCCACTTGTAATCTTGCATATCTTCTCATTTATGCAATTATCTTGTATAGCAACCGTGGGTTGGGTTACAACTATCTGTCATTTACGCCATATTGTCTCATAGGGCGCATTTGGCTTACAATTACTTTTAAATCAGACTAATAGAAATGGTAAAGGATTAGGATACCAAGCCCGATCCAATCCTGGATTTTCATATCTTGTTGAAGGCGTTGCTGCGGAAGAAGTCGACTTAGTCGTAGGTGTTGATTTCATATCTTGTAATGGTTCTATCGTGGTTATTTATGTCTTGTACTCTCTTTGTTGATGATTTTGGCCTCGTTGCCTTACATCATCATTAATAAAATTGGTTGTATGCATCGCATTAATGTAGAGGCTAGGGGTTTCAACCTCTTTCTCAAAAAAAAAAAATCCTAGATTTTGGCTAAGAAATCTAAGGAGTCGGGTCAATTTGGACACAATCTTACCATCTCATTTCCTGTTTTTTTTCCTGTTGCATGTACTCCCTCCGTTTCAAAATAGATGAATCAACTTTATACTAACTTTGTACTAAACTTAATACAAAGTTGAGTCATCTATTTTGGAACGGAGGGAGTAGTTCTCATCTTTTTGTTGGGGATGGAACACGTAGAACCCTAGGTTTTCCTTATTTTTTCAGTTGGTGTCGATAGTCATGTTAATTCTTAATGATACCAGCCGAAGCAGCAAGCGCCTTTTGAAAAAACCTCGGGAGCACTGGCGTGCGTCGGAGGAGGCGTGGATTAAGGCAAACACAGATGGCACAATTGGAAGGGTTCCGGGGATGGAGCAGGTGGAGCGTTCCTTCGAGATAACCATGGCAACATGTGGTAGGAGCTTGTCAGTTTTTCCCATCAGTCTCTGATCTGGAGTTGGTTCACTTGTTGGCATGCAGGAAGGCTATTTAGTTATTTCTTGAATTGGGCTTGCCTATGGTGATGTTGGAGATAGATGATCAGATTGTGCGAGATCCCGAACGGCGGAGGAGTTGAACAGGTCGGTCTACGGGCCGCTCATTAAGGAGAACAAGGACTAGCTAAGGTCCAGAGAAAGCCTTTAGGTGAAATGAGAAGGGCGAACGGTAAATGAAATGACACATGTCTTAGCTAAAGTGTGTTGTGCCAATGATGTGTGTAACTCGTGGTTGCATGAACCATCAGAGTGTGTATCCGATATTGTAGTCGCTGAACGTTATGAATAAATTAAACCGCAAATTTCCTACTAAAAAAGTCAAATATGTCATTAAACCCTCCTATTGTCGAGTGCAACCTTGCTTGGTAGTGCGGCGTGATATTACCATATTTTGTCAGCTCGTGTGGAAAAACTAAAGCTAGAGGCCAACCAACAAATAGCGATACTTTTATTGTTTTGTGTATATGGCGCTAGCTAGTATGTATCTCGTGGAATATCCAGGCCACGTGGTCATGGCTGGCTGGGCAGATTGCACAGATGGTGGTTGGCCGGTTGCGCTAGCTAGCTTGTGAATGTCCGTGACACTAGCGGTTATACATCCAAATGCTAGCCACACACGGAGAAACTTATGACTCGAAACACATACTACCGATGAATAAATAATTGGCCTCTGCATTTTAACATAGGAGAAAACTACATTATTTCCGGTATCTCAACTAGTATTGACTGAGCACAGTGTCATCCTTCAACTCCGAAAGTGTCCAAAACTAATCCACTCAACTGTCTTTTTTTTTGCGTGCGGTAGTCCACTTGATTGTCAACTACGAATACTGTGGAACTTTTATCCGCTAGAGTGGTCTTGTATATTTGCGTCTTATTTATGACCGGTTGGATATATGGCACTGGGGTGTTGGTTTGTATGAGTGTATAGAGCATTCACACTTTGACATAGTGATTTTGAGTGACATGTATTGGTGCGGTTCAGTAAGGTCAGTTTGATTGGACAAAGGCACTGTTGTGATGAGAAGCTGTGGGTTTATTTTTACTTTGAATTTTATAAAGATCGTTGGAGAGGCTCCTACTGACAGTGGAATAGATCTTGTCGTGCTTGGGGAGAAGGTGGTGGGAATTATCAATATTTGGATATTGTGGAATATGTGGAAGCTGGGAGAGAATGGTGGATCTTAGTGCAAAGGTAGGCATGTGTGCACTCGGTAATGGATGTGTGCTTAAATGCACCATGAAGTGGGTTGGACACTCTCGCTTGACACAGATGCGATTAACTTGTCACTTTAAAAGCGATTATTTTAAGTGCACAAAACCTTAGGCTACAGGTGCCTCATGACAAGCATGGGTAAACATAGCCGCCAAGGAGAAAAAGGAGGACGACCCGGCTACAACCATCATGGGGGGTTCCCTCACCGGCTGCTCCAGTAGCCGTGGGAGGGATGGGAACATCAGGATCTTGTCCCGTGTTCCTCCAATAGTGTAACGTGAGGCAAAAGTTATCGGTTTCTAGCCCTTGTGTTTGGCAACCACCTACGAATTAGAGTGGCCTCACTGAACAATACTAGTATTTTTTGAGCAATTTTTTCTCACTCGTGCGCATTCGGCATCAACGTCTCAGCCGGTCGCTCATGCTCATATTGCTCAGACTTATGAGCATCAAACTTAACTAGATATTTCTCAGTTGTTCCTCCTTTAGTAATACCAATAGACCTTGTTAATTTCTTGGTCACACTAAGCTTCTCTCTGACTCGGATGAATTCACCAATGAAAGAATTAGGCAATGTTACTTGCACCTCATGTACTTCACCAATACGCTTGCCTGTTCAATTATAAGTAATTGTTGTTGTATTGGCGGGGTCTTGGACTGTGGGAGTCCTCCTCGCCATATTGATGCACGGAGCATTAGTATATATAAGAGTTTGTTTCAGTTCTATTTTTATCGATTTTATTGGTTATCATCCGATTTTATGGTTCTTGGTATGTTTTTCATTTTATTTTACAAAGAACACTTGATTATAATATTTATTCCAGGTAGAAAATTCCTAAAGTTCATGAATATGTTTTTAAAACTCCAATTTTTTTAGAAAGCATGATTTTTCAAATCTGGACTCTTCTTGGGAAAACAGTGAATAGTTCTAAATTTGCGTGAACTATTTAAAATACATAAGAATTTTGTTTGCAATTTCAGGAACTTTTTGAAAGGTAGGTACTTTACTTGTAATATTGAGAAAAGATTTCAAAATAATTCTAACTCAAAAGGAATACTTAAAGAAAACCAATAGAATGAAGGGAAAACCTGAAAAAACAAAGACTAAAAATTAATGAAAAAATGGTCGCCACAACCAGGAGGAGCACTTGCAAGGAGATGCCGAACTGGCCCGGCCCAGATGTGAGTGACTTGTACGCCATTCCATTAATTTATGAGACCAACTAGTTGACGAGCACTCCTTCAGAAGCTTTGCAACGATCACTTGCAGGTGGGCTGAGAGCGCGCCACTTGGCGATCTTAGCCGCCGTGACGTGTCCCACTCTGGGCGGTCCCTCTGGGTTTTTTTTTCGCACGCGTTTTTGCATTTTTAAACGTTTTTTTCTTTTTGGTTTTCCACCGGTCTTCCTTAGCTTTTGGCAAAAAAAATTAAAATAAGTTTTTGTGCAAGAAAACGCATTTTTTTTGCTTCGGCGAGAGGCACGATTTTGCTTTTACGAGAGGCACATCCATGCCTCTCAGAAATAGAAAATAACGTGTTTTCTGTTTTCTTTTTCTTCTGTGAGAGGCATGGTTTTGCTTTCGCAAGCGTGCCTCTCGGAAACAAAAAAAAAACATGTTTTCTGGTTTTTTCCTCTGCGAGAGGCACGCTCGGAAACGAGAAAAACGCATTTTCTATTTTTTTTCTCTTGTGAGAGGCAGGGCTTTGCTTCCGCGAGAGGCACAGTTATAATTTCGCGAGAGGCACGCTTGAAAACGAAAAAAAAAAACATGTTTTTTTCTTCTTTCATGAGAGGCACTGTTTTGCTTCCGCGAGGGGCACGGTTTGTGATTTCGCGACCGTGCCTGCCGGAAATGAAAAAACGTGTTTCTATTTTTTTCTTCTGCGAGATGCACAATTTGGCTTCCTTGAGAAACACGACCGTGC